CCTCATGCCCCATTTCTGCTCACTACATCCCCCTCCCTATAAGGATATAACCACTGTCCCATTTCTGTCATTGATTAATTTTGTCTCTTGTTGAACTTTATGTAAAGGAAATTGTACAGTAGATACCCTTTTGAATTTGAATTCATTTGCTCAAATTTTTATTTCTAAGATTCACCCATATTTTTGCATGGATTGTAGCTCAGAAATTTTCTTAAAGAAATAAAACATGCATTCAATCGAAGTCTCCCCATCTGCCACTCCTAGAAGTGTCTCCTGCACCAAGTTCCTCATTCTTAGGAATTTTAAAATACTGTTATCAGACATGTTGAGTATAAATAATGTATATCATGGAGTTACATATTTTTATTCTTTCTCTAAGAGGCATTGTAGTCTATGTATCATTTTTGCACTTCCTGTTTTTTTGTTTAACACTAACTAAACTTAATGCCACACTTACACCCACTTCATTAAGCTTAGCTGACTTTTGGTGCTGCATTTTGTGACTATGCCCCTCTTCCTTCTGTCTTTTGCGGTTCTCTCTTGATAGACACTAGTTAGCTGCCACTAGCAAGAGCACAGCTCTGCGTAGCCTTGTCTGCTCGAGGCTCCATTGTATGGATGTCGGTTTCTCTATGCAGTTCTCCCAGAGGGAGAGTTGCTGGGTTGTAGAATATGCACATCTTTAACTCCGCCAGGCATCCGGCATCCTCGGCTCTTTCTTGAAAGGGCTTGCTCTAATCTCAGTCTCTAGAATATGCAGATCTTTAACTCCGCCAGGCATCCTCGGCTCTTTATTGAAAGGGCTTGCTCTAATCTCAGTCCCCCTCACATTGGATAGTGTCAGACCTTTACAGTGTTGCCTGTCTGAGGAGTCTGAATGAGCATCTTGTCTGCCTACTTGCGCTTTTACTCATAGAGACCACACTTTCCATCCAGGGAAGCCTGGGAACCCTGGGTTGATAGGCCACTTTCTTCTTAAACCTGGCTGGCCACCAGCATTACCGTGGCGCTCAGTGCGTGCAGGTGACGTGGTGCCATCCCAGTCCTGTTTGGGCATTGGGCGGTTGCTGGTGTGTTTAAAGGTTCCGTGCACTACCTGGCATGGCTGGAGAAAACTCTGCCTCAGATCATGAGAATCTTTGGAATAAGAGTCTCATTTTTTTCTGGATTTAAAAAAAACACACCCACAAATGAGGATCTCTACCACCCTATCTACACAAGTCTTTCTTGCCCTAGGGATCCAAGTTGTAGATTCTATTACAGTCGTTAGTAATAGTAGTATTAGGAATTGGGAATAGTAGTAATAGCCTGCAACCTGGGCATGTGCCCTGACCGGGAATTGAACCGTGACTTCCTTGTTCATAGGCCGATACTCAACCACTGAGCTGGGCCCAGCAGGTGCTTTTACACTCCATGGGGTGTGTGTCCTTGGCACTGGGGGGCTGGAGGGAGCTCCCCTCGCACAGACTTGCTGCTTTTCTCGCTGGTCTCAGCCTCTATGACCCAGGGCCTCCGCATCGGCAGCACACATCTGATGTCGGGAGCACCCGTGGCCTCGGAGCCACAGTGTAAATCCTGGGGAATTAGAGCCATTATCTCCTGTGGAATCACTTTAACTTCGTTCCAGCCTTTATTTTTCCAAGTGTGAGGGCCGAGGGCTCTGCTAAAGTCATTTCAGGGTTGAATCATCAGGACTGGCCCCCCTATCAGCCATCCTAGAACGAGTGGGCAGTGTGCACTCGCCCTTCCTCTAGTGGGAAGGGACTCTCATTCCCAGACACTTTGTCAGGTGTGGCCCCGCGTCTTCCCACAGCAAGAACAGGACTCATGCCTGGAAGTGGGATACTCTTGGGTGGGCAAATGCATCATCTGAAAACAGCACTCCCTCCTACCCAGGTTATAAAAAAGTCAGCATTCAGTTGACATTTGGAACAAATAATTATATAAAGAAGAAGATCAAAACTACTTGTCTTTATTTTCCCACCAAAGGCGGCTGCTGTAACCTTCTCGGAGAATTTCCCGTCAGTTTTTTCCAAGCGTATGAGTGTGCATATCTGTGACCATTTTTATAAAGTTGGCATTGAACTCCACAGGAGGCTTCCTAAACTGCTCCTCTCCAGTGAGCTATGCATGGTGAAAATGTTCTCCTATTGTTAAAACATGATTTTTTAACATGACTTTTAATGTGTGCATGGTGTTTTGTTGGAAAAAAGTGTACCATTATTTAATTGAATATATATATTTTTTTGGGTGCTTAGGTTGTTTTTCATTTCTCGCTGCTGAAGGTACATGTATGAGCAGCCATCTTTGGTTGGCTGTCTTGGACGTGATGTGTATTATTTTGCTAATTTTTCTTTGGTTTCTGACCTGTCTTCCTCTTTCTCGTTGCTTTTGATGGGTGGAAGTCAGCACCCAGGGCGTTTGGACCAGTTTTGCATTTTGCATGACTCTCACTCAGGTTCTCATGCTGGGGCCACCTTGCCCGCAGGGGATGTCTGCAACTACCTGGTGACAGTGTTGGTTGTCACAGCTCCAAGGGTGGCATCTGGTGGGTGGAGGCCAGGACGGCCTCCTCACAAAGAATCCAGCGCCACTGTTCACTGTGGCCGGCCCAGGAGCTGAGTGCGAACGTGTCCATGTATCCTGTCTGTTATTTGAAAGTAACCGTCCGTTACCTGATGTGACGACGTTTCAGTCAGTGATAGAAGCTCTTGGTTTATTTCGTGACTGTTGAGTTAGGGTTTGCTCTCGCCTGGTTCATCAGCCCTCTCAAACGTGTGGGCTCCTGGGCAGGACGTGGTGGTACCGTCTGGCGCTCACAGAGCGAGGTTGGGTCTGCATGAGTCTCTCTCCTCAGAAGGTGGGTACGGCTCAGAGGAACCAGCTGCTTCGGGGCTCGTGTGCTTGTCCTTTTGAAGGGACGAGCCTGCCCTGCTTTTCTTCTGCACAAGATGTCCCACTGCCTCCCCACGTGGAGCGATGCAGTCGGGCCGTTGGCGTAGATCATCCCCTTGTCATTGTTTGAACAGAAGAGGCCTTTGAACAAGTGCCAGCACCAGACCACAGTGGAAAAAGATGAGGCCCCCAAACAATGCCACACACCCGGCCGATCTCTGTAAATTTATAGCGTCATCTTGCCATAATATGGGAACGAAGTAACCTGGTGATGAACTTGGTGGGAGGAAATGACTAAGGGGAGGAGACAGTCAACACAGTATTTACATTGGACGGAGGCTGAGCTCTCTCGAGTCCCTGCTGGAGGAGAGGAAGCTGGGGAGGGGCCTCATTTCCTACGGTTCTCTTGTTCAGCACCATTTGGGTGAAGGGGAAGGAAAAAAAAAACTCCAAGGCTTTCATGTTCAGACCCCACAGCTCTCCTTGGCCTGAGTCACCCGCGAGCATGGGCGCAATCTGTCGGCGATAAGGCGCACCGCCCGGAGCTTTCAGACGTAGGGGGCGCTGTGTGGCGGGCAGTGCTTTTCTGAGTAATCATGTTGTTCTAAAAAGATCCTCAGTGATTAGAGGGCTTTGAAAGTTATTTTAAAAGAGGAAGCTGTACCACTGATTTGGCGTTGTGCTCTTCCTTTGTATGAAGCATTAACAGGCACGCATTCTGGGCGTCCGGGCAGTAGAATTTAGGCCCTGGGAGGCGGTGGGTTGGTGGTGGTGGTGGTGGTGGTGATGGCCACGCTCAGTTCCCTTGCCCATCTCCCTGCCTCCAGCTCCAGCCTCCCCATGATGGGCATCATCGAGGAAAGAGTCGTGTAAGGGCAAGAACCAGCGATCTCCCCATCATCCCTCAGAGCCAGCAGTCCCCAGCCTTGGCGCTATGGGCGTTTGAGGCTGGGTGGTTCTTGGTTGTGAGTCTGTCCTGTGCACTGTAGGATGTTCAGCAGCCTCCCTGGTCTGTACCCACTGGACTCCAGCAGCACGCCCCGCCCCCCCACTCTGACAACCAAAAATGTCTCCAGACATTGCCCCATGTCTCTGGGCAGGGGGTGGGGGGCAATTACCCCCATTGAGGACCTCTGTGCTGATAAGCCTCCTTCTCCACATACGGAGTGACTGAGGGCTATAGAGTTACTGCCACTCAAGCGGAAAGGGGTGCGGGGGGGGGTGGCATTTCCTGTGTGTCTGGCCCTTTCCTACGTGCTCTACGTAGATGGTCTCGTTTAAGCCTCTGCAGTAAGAGTTGTTAGGGTCCCTATTTTACAGGTGAGGAAACCGAGGGTTAGAGAAAAGATGTAGCTTGTCCCGTGGGGGATCGGCTGGGGCTGGTACCAGGTTCGAGCATTTGATGGCTGTACAGTGGGTTACCCACTCCCCAGAAAGCCTGGCCAGGCTGACTGAAACTCCCTAGCCCAGTGCTCAGCTACACGTGTGTGTGTGTGTGTGGGGGGGGAGGGTGGCATCATCTAGGTCAGTGGTTTTCAGTGGAGGTTTTGCCTCCTAGGGGACATGTGTTCATGTCTGGAGACATTTTGTGGGTCTCCCTGGGGTGCTGCTGGTGTCTGGTGGTGGAGGGCCAGGGATGCTGCCGGAGACCCTGCCCGCACTGCAGAGAGTTCTCCAGGCGAGTGTCGTGGTGCCAGGGCTGAGCAGCCCTGGTCCAGGGGATTGTCTCCGGTCTGCGGGGCGGGGGTGGGGGGGGGGCGTGGTGACACTGGCAGGCCAGTGTGTAAACGGAGTTATCTTACAGCGTGGGAGCTGTTCCTGCTGGAATGGTAGTTACTTAAAAAAAACAACAAACACAAACAAAGTTCTTACATCCTTTTGATCTTGCTTTCATCATTTAATAATTTTTCAAATGCTCTAAGTTTTCTGCTATTTTCTGTGGCCTTTGCCCCAAAGCGAGGCCCCCTCTGGCTTTTTATCTCTGGCCAAGTGGAAAACATGGGCGTCTGCTGAGCACACGGGGCGCACCAGCTGTCAGGGGAAGCGGGCACTGGAGCCGGCGGGCGGGCGTTCCCCCGCTCACTCCTGCCTTCCGGCCCCTCTAGGATGAATCAACGGGGGAAATTACCTTCTACATCAAGGGAGCCGACGTCGTCATGGCTGGCATCGTGCAGTACAACGACTGGCTGGAGGAAGAGGTGAGCGTGATGTGGGCGTGGGAACCGGCCTTGCCCTCACAGGGGGTCAAGAGGGGGTCTCTGTATTCGTAATCCACGTAGCACATCGCCCCCAAATGCTGCAGCTTCGCATAACACATTCAATTCTCACCGTTTCTATGGGTCAAGCATGCGGGCACAGCTTGGCTGGGTCCTCCACCGGGTCTCTCACAGGCTGCAGTCAAGGGGTCGGCTGGGGCTGGGTCTCATCTGAAGCCTCAGCCGGGGCAGGACCCTGTCCAGACTCAGTGGTCACGGGCAGGAGTAGCTCTTTGGTGGCTGTTGGCCGGAGGCTGCCACGTTCCTCGCCACGTGGACCTTCCCATGGGACAGCTCCCAGTGCGCAGCTGGCGTTGTCAGCGGGGGAAGCGAGGGAGCAGGACAGGGCGGGGAGAGGCCGTCACCTGCCCTCGGTAGGGACCTCCCCTCACTTCGCCACACTCTTTGCCGGGAACAGGCCACTGGGTCCAGCACACACTCATGGGAAGTGACTATACGAGGGTGTGGCTATTACATCTTCGATTGGGTGGTTTGCAAACACAAACGCCCACAGGGCCAGGCAGGTAACGCAAACGGAACTGGCCGGGCCATGTTTTCCTGCCAGGGTCACGTTTTGTGTGTGAATGGCACGGGCATGTTGTCAGCTCGACACCTGCTTTCCGGCAGCCCATGGAAGCGGCCGCATGTCACCATCAGCTGCTGCGGTTACTTGGGAACACGGGCTCAGTGTGTCAGAGGTTCCGTTTTCCCAACAAGCCGGAAATCCAGATTTTCCTGTGCAGTGTTACACCCTTGACTTAAATTTCGGAACAAACGGTGCCCATCACAGAAACTGTAGGTCGTGTGGCCTGTGGGTCATGCCATGACGTCCCCTTAGAAGGTCCACTCAGGGAAACGACTTTGGAGAAGGCAGGGTCTGGTGGCGGTGCGCTGCCCCCACAGGAGGGGCCTGTCCCCTTCAGCGCCTGGCCCTCCTCAGTGAGCCTCAGGGCCCGGGGCAGAGCCTCCACGCGGCCCCGCTGACCGCCCTCTGCTTCACAGTGTGGGAACATGGCCCGAGAGGGGCTGCGGGTGCTCGTGGTGGCGAAGAAGTCTCTAGCCGAGGAGCAGTATCAGGACTTCGAGGTAAGTGGTTCTGTGACGGTTGGTTATTCTCAGCCCTGCCCACCTGCCGGTCACATCTCCTCCCAGCTGCCCCTCGCTCCTCCTGCTCTTGCCATCCTCCTGTCACTTCTGAGCACAGTCAGCTTCACTCCTGTCCCCGGCCTTTGCACTTGCTCTCTGAGTGCACAGAACTCTCTTTCCTCCTGTTGCTCCGCGGCCCACTCCCTCACTTCCTTTGGCTCTCAGCTCAAATGCCGCCGCCTCTGAGAAGTCCTCCTGGACTCCCCATCTAAAGCAGCCCCACCTCAACACTCTCCACCCTTCACCCCATTGAACTTTCTTCATTGCACTTAACATCTAGAATGACCATATACATAAACATTAACATATCTTTTCTGGAATAGAATCTTTTTGAGAGCACTTTGTTACTCTGCTTGGCTCTTATATCCCCAACGTTTAGGCTGGTCATTGGCACATAGCACACCTCCTGGAAAATTTGGAATGAGGCCCTAGTTTTTTAAAGCTGTAAAAAATATTAATGTTGAACCAGATCATTGACTTGCACAGCCAAGGGTTCCAGCATAAATATGTCATCTTGTCCCGTAGATTGTGTGTCCCTCGAAGGGAAGTGTCTTTGTTAGGTCCCCAGTCCTGGCATAAAGCCAAGCGCGCACACGCATGCAAGACGGGAAGGGAGGGGGACTTCCGGCCCCTCTAGGATGAATCAACGGGAGAAATTACCTTCTACATCAAGGGAGCTGACGTCGTCATGGCTGGCATCGTGCAGTACAACGACTGGCTGGAGGAAGAGGTGAGCATGATGTGGGCGTGGAAACCGGCCTTGCCCTCACAGGGGTCAGGAGGGGGTTTCTGTATTCGTTCTCCACGTAGCACATCGCCCCAAAATGCTGCAGCTTCGCATAACACATTCAGTTCTCACCGTTTCTATGGGTCAAGCATGCGGGCACAGCTTGGCTGGGTCCTCCACCGGGTCTCTCACAGGCTGCAGTCAAGGGGTCGGCTGGGGCTGGGTCTCATCTGAAGCCTCAGCCGGGGCAGGACCCTGTCCAGACTCAGTGGTCACGAGCAGGAGTCCGCTCTTTGGTGGCTGTTGGCCGGAGGCTGCCACGTTCCTCGCCACGTGGACCTTCCCATGGGACAGCTCCCAGTGCGCAGCTGGCGTTGTCAGCGGGGGAAGCGAGGGAGCAGGACAGGGCGGGGAGAGGCCGTCACCTGCCCTCGGTAGGGACCTCCCCTCACTTCGCCACACTCTTTGCCGGGAACAGGCCACTGGGTCCAGCACACACTCATGGGAAGTGACTATACGAGGGTGTGGCTATTACATCTTCGATTGGGTGGTTTGCAAACACAAACGCCCACAGGGCCAGGCAGGTAACGCAAACGGAACTGGCCGGGCCATGTTTTCCTGCCAGGGTCACGTTTTGTGTGTGAATGGCACGGGCATGTTGTCAGCTCGACACTGGCTTTCCGGCAGCCCATGGAAGCGGCCGCATGTCACCATCAGCTGCTGCGGTTACTTGGGAACACGGGCTCAGTGTGTCAGAGGTTCCGTTTTCCCAACAAGCCGGAAATCCAGATTTTCCTGTGCAGTGTTACACCCTTGACTTAAATTTCGGAACAAACGGTGCCCATCACAGAAACTGTAGGTCGTGTGGCCTGTGGGTCATGCCATGACGTCCCCTTAGAAGGTCCACTCAGGGAAACGACTTTGGAGAAGGCAGGGTCTGGTGGCGGTGCGCTGCCCCCACAGGAGGGGCCTGTCCCCTTCAGCGCCTGGCCCTCCTCAGTGAGCCTCAGGGCCCGGGGCAGAGCCTCCACGCGGCCCCGCTGACCGCCCTCTGCTTCACAGTGTGGGAACATGGCCCGAGAGGGGCTGCGGGTGCTCGTGGTGGCGAAGAAGTCTCTAGCCGAGGAGCAGTATCAGGACTTCGAGGTAAGTGGTTCTGTGACGGTTGGTTATTCTCAGCCCTGCCCACCTGCCGGTCACATCTCCTCCCAGCTGCCCCTCGCTCCTCCTGCTCTTGCCATCCTCCTGTCACTTCTGAGCACAGTCAGCTTCACTCCTGTCCCCGGCCTTTGCACTTGCTCTCTGAGTGCACAGAACTCTCTTTCCTCCTGTTGCTCCGCGGCCCACTCCCTCACTTCCTTTGGCTCTCAGCTCAAATGCCGCCGCCTCTGAGAAGTCCTCCTGGACTCCCCATCTAAAGCAGCCCCACCTCAACACTCTCCACCCTTCACCCCATTGAACTTTCTTCATTGCACTTAACATCTAGAATGACCATATACATAAACATTAACATATCTTTTCTGGAATAGAATCTTTTTGAGAGCACTTTGTTACTCTGCTTGGCTCTTATATCCCCAACGTTTAGGCTGGTCATTGGCACATAGCACACCTCCTGGAAAATTTGGAATGAGGCCCTAGTTTTTTAAAGCTGTAAAAAATATTAATGTTGAACCAGATCATTGACTTGCACAGCCAAGGGTTCCAGCATAAATATGTCATCTTGTCCCGTAGATTGTGTGTCCCTCGAAGGGAAGTGTCTTTGTTAGGTCCCCAGTCCTGGCATAAAGCCAAGCGCGCACACGCATGCAAGACGGGAAGGGAGGGGGGAGGCTGGGGGACAGGCTCTGGGCCCTTGTCCTGTTCCACCCAGAGAAGCTGTGCTTGTCTGTCTCTTTTATGTGTGAGTTCTCCGTACAGTTTTAATTAACAAGAGGCCTAGCCCTGATCAAGTCCACCTTCCTTTCCATTTTAAAGGCATCAGTTTTGAGTCGGCCCATGAGGGGCCTTTGATTTTCCTCTAGGTCTTTGCCAGCACTGGAAAGAGGGGAGAAACAGAAGGGTTGGGTCGATGGTCTTTGAAAGTGGGACTTCGTCAAGGACGCTTGGTTACAAAGTGTGCTTTGTGCGGGAGAACCTACTGCTTTTCTGAGCTCTTGAGTTGTGCCAATCCTTGCAACAACCCAGTGAGGTAGGGGCTGTTATTGCTGCTTCTGGGTGAAAACAAGAGGCTCAGAGAAGTTAAGCAACTTGCTGGAAGTTGCACAGCAGGTGGGTGTAGAGCCAAGGGTGGAACTCAGGTCTGTCCAACTCCTGTGTCTGGACTGTGAACTTGGGAGGGACCGAAGCCTCCGTGTCATCCCTCTGAGGGCTACACCAGGTGCTGCGGTGGGATCAGCATGCCGTCCCACTCGGCGTCGGACAACCTTGCACCTCCCCACCCTAAGCGTGTCCCCTGCTGTGTCCCAGGCTCGCTACGTGCAGGCCAAGCTGAGCGTGCACGACCGCTCCCTCAAAGTGGCCACGGTGATCGAGAGCCTGGAGATGGAGATGGAGCTGCTGTGCCTGACGGGGGTGGAAGACCAGCTGCAGGCGGACGTGAGGCCCACGCTGGAGACGCTGCGGAACGCCGGCATCAAGGTAGGCGGCCTGCTGCGGCCTGGCTGCTGAATGACCGCCCCGGGAAATGGGCTCCGGAATTATACAGCTATCCCTTGAGTGGAGTGCGAAGGTGGGAGATGGGAGGGGGGGACGTGTGACAGAGGGAGCCAGGCGTGCAGGGACTCCAGCCCTGTCTCAGGTGGGCCTCTCGTCACCTCCCGCCCCAGCAGCCCTGTGCGTTTGCTTTCCTGGCTGGCCTTCCTGACCAGGCCGGGCTCCACGCAGGCAGGACCACACGCGGCTCCTCATCCCTCAGTGCCAAGTGTGTCCACTATATCCCTGTGAGTGGCCAGCCAGCCAGCCGTCTGTCGATGCGTCTGGATGGATGGGTGACCTCCCAACAGAGTGACCGCCTGCCCCAGCAACTGCCATGTTTACGTTTTGTACTCTACTCTTTGGGGCCCCCAAATGTCCAGTAGTTTAATCGGGAGAGGCCAGTAGAGGGCGTCTGAGGAGCCTGCAAAGGATTAGCGAACTTCCTGGCTCAGTGCCCCTGAGCACACGTATGTGTTTGCCACCCGCCTCCGCCCCAAAGCAGCTCTGGGCTGCGTCCTCGGGCCTGCATTCGGCAGAAGCGCGTGTGAGCTGGGCCATGCGAGCTTGTGGATTAAGACCAGCCACAGGGTGCTCCGGGCACGTCCGTGCCCATTGGGGGCTCCCGTGTGTGCGAGCGTGGATTTTTGTAAACCAAACGCTGTCACGTACCTTTGGCTCATAGGAAACTGACAGCGAGATCCCAATTTTGAAAAAAACGGGCTGATGTCAGAGGGCCCGTTTCTACTGCGTTGTGGAGTTTAAACTTTGTCCCTGGGCCATTTCCAGGACCTCGCTGTGTGGCTTTGGGGCAAGTCACCTCTCTGCCCCCACAGCAGTGAGGGATCTGTTCCGAGGTTGGAACCTGGAGGTCCACCACCAGCGTTTTGTAGTCAGGGTTAACCCCACGGGATTCCTGACCGGCATCCGACCAGGTAGAAAGACCATGTGTCCGTGACAAGTCCGTTTCCTGTGGGACCCGGAAGTGACCCCTCCCCATCCAGGCTCCCCTTTCTTAGAGATCAGTTATGACTTTAAGAAAAATTCCCTGAAGAGGGGTTGTGAGGCCAGAGGCCGGGCTTCGCGATGTCTCCTGAAGCGTGTGGCCCAGCGGGTCTCCGAGTACCACACCGGCGTCTGCTGCCACCAGGGGTGGTCGCGCCGCGTCCTGACGGCCTTGAACGGGGCGTTTCCTGTCACGTGTGGGGGCCCCGTGAGCCTCGAGGAGGTAAACGGGACACACTAAGTTCGGCTCGATGTTCCGGGAAACTCGGCCGACGCAGGCGACAGGCCGCCTCTAACAACACTAACCACGGGGACCTCTTTCATGCGGTGACTCCAGGTTTGGATGCTGACAGGGGACAAGCTGGAGACGGCCACATGCACAGCGAAGAACGCGCATCTGGTGACCAGAAACCAAGACATCCACGTGTTTCGGCTGGTAAAGCATTCTCTGCGGGGGGCCTCCTGGGGGTGTGGCTGCAGTTTGCCTGTAACCTCGTGACCTCATAACCTCGTGACCTCATAACCTCGAGGGGGCCCCGAGAGGGGAGCATGTTAACCTGCTGGGCGGGGGCTTCCACAGTCGGTTTGGGAGGAATCACTGATGAGCCAGTGAGGCCGGAGGCTCCTTCCGGTGGTGTCTCCGGGGCACCCCGTCCTGTCCCGGCCTGTGTGGATGTGTGGCCTTAACCTGGGGGGGTCGTGGGCGCTTTGAGAGGCTGCTGGAAGTGAGGCAGGTGGCGTGAAGGATGCAGATAAGCGCATGCATGTGAAATTGTCCCTAGGAGTCCAGGGTTTCACCAAGTCCTTGAAGGCCAGTCCTGGGGTAAGAAATAACATCCAGATCACAGGTATTGTCCTGAAGGAACACCTGGGAGCCTTCAGAAGGAGGTGTGTTGGGTGGGCACGGGAGAAGTGGCCCCAAACAAGCAGGCATTAGGAGCCCCAAGGCTGGAGGCCAGGGGCTGTGCCCAGCCTTACTGAGCTGAGGTGAGGAGCAGGGTCCCTCTGGGGCAGGGTCCCACTCATCTGAAATCAGAGCCACCATACCAACAGCTGCAGGGACCTAGATGTTTGGGGGTCTCCCTCTCACCCCTGCCTGTGGTCCGTAGCACATAGAAGCTCCAAGAAAGCCAGCTGTTTGGGGACCAGCACACACAGTGTTGCTTAGAGGCAGATGCGGTGGATCCTCATTGTTCACGGGATCTGCTGACAAACCCGCCTACTCGCTAAAATCGATCTGTGACCCGAAAAGCAGTGCTCAGGTGCTTTCCGAGTTGTGGGGTCTGGTGTGCGTGGCACAGTCTGAGTCGTGCACGTTCCGCTGAGGGCGAACAGGGTGGGTCCGCCGTCTCGTTTCAGCGCTCACGCTGCACACACTGTCCTTTTCACGGTCCCTGTAGGGCCACTGTTTTGCATTTTTGTGCTTTTTGTTAGCGATTTCACTGTGTGAAACGGCCCCAGCACAGTGGTGAGGGATGGCCACTGTTCCGAAGCACAGGAGGGCTGTATGTGCCTCACGGAGGAAATGCGTGGCTTAGCTAAGCCTCTCAGGCCCGTGTCCAATGCTGTTGGCCATGAGTTCAGTGTTAACGAATCAACAAATATGAGTTTTAAAAGATGTCTTTAAGCAGAAGCACACATAACACGAGGTTATGTATTGATCTGGTGGAGAGAGATACTGGGAGCGGAGGCTGGCAGGAGCCATGCCTGTGCTTCCTGGGGGCCTGGTCCATGTTGCTGACTCAGCGTTCAGGGCGGGGCCGTGCAGAGCGTAACTGTCACAGCTCATGAGAATCCACTGCATGTCCTAGAATTCAGGGCCTGCAGACCGTGGCTCTGGTGCTAGCTCCCTGTTCTGGGAAACAGTTTTATCTAAATGCAGATACGCCCATTGTTTCCATAACTGTCGGAGGCTGCTTTATGCCCACGGAGCCCACAGGAGTTCACATCTGGTCCTTCATGGAAAGCCGGCCTCCCCTGCCGGGTGCGTGCGTGCGGCGTTCTCGCTGTGTGTTTCAGGCAGGCTAACACACATGCCCTGCTTCAGTTTCCTTACATGTAAGGGAGTGTGGCATCCTGTGAGAAATGCATGGGAAGACACGGGAGTGCGGGGCAGGCCTGCACAGGCGGAACCTGCAGTCCTTCATGTCTTGTTTTATTTTTTTACGTGGTCACAGCCGTCCTGGGGAAATGCAAGGTGACAGACAGGCTCTCCGGTCCCCACAGAATCATGACGAACAGGATTTAATTTGGCTCTGGGTCCAGTGGCAGGGGAGGGGCAGGGGTCCTTGGCCAAGTGGCCATTGTCTTCACGCGGCTCCAGGAAGCCACTGTTTGTTGTTCTGCGGTCTCCAAAGAGCGAGGCCGCCTCACCCCTCATTCCTTTCCAGGTGACCAACCGCGGCGAGGCCCACCTTGAGCTGAACGCCTTCCGCAGGAAACACGACTGTGCCCTGGTCATCTCTGGAGACTCCCTGGAGGTAGGACCGCCTGGCGCCCCTTCCTGCTGCCGTGGGGGAAGTGACCTGGCTGACCCCCCTCCCTCCCCAACAGATCTGCCTCAAGTACTACGAGTACGAGTTCATGGAGCTGGCCTGCCAGTGCCCGGCCGTGGTCTGCTGTCGCTGCGCCCCCACGCAGAAGGCCCAGATCGTGCGTCTGCTGCAGGAGCGCACTGGGAAGCTCACCTGTGCAGTAGGTAGGCTAGTTCACCTGGGCGGTAGGTAGGGTAGTTACCTGGGCGGTAGGTAGGCATGCTCACCTGGGCAGTAGGTAGGCTAGTTCACCTGGGAGGTAGGTAGGGTAGTTCACCTGGGCGGTAGGTAGGCATGCTCACCTGGGCAGTAGGTAGGGTAGCTCACCTGGGCAGTAGGTAGGCATGCTCACCTGGGCAATAGGTAGGGTAGCTCACCTGGGCGGTAGGTAGGGTAGTTACCTGGGCGGTAGGTAGGGTAGTTACCTGGGCGGTAGGTAGGGTAGTTACCTGGGCGGTAGGTAGGGTAGTTACCTGGGCGGTAGGTAGGGTAGTTACCTGGGCGGTAGGTAGGGTAGTTACCTGGGCGGTAGGTAGGGTAGTTACCTGGGCGGTAGGTAGGGTAGTTACCTGGGCGGTAGGTAGGGTAGTTACCTGGGCGGTAGGTAGGGTAGTTACCTGGGCGGTAGGTAGGGTAGTTACCTGGGCGGTAGGTAGGGTAGTTACCTGGGCGGTAGGTAGGGTAGTTACCTGGGCGGTAGGTAGGGTAGTTACCTGGGCGGTAGGTAGGGTAGTTACCTGGGCGGTAGGTAGGGTAGTTACCTGGGCGGTAGGTAGGGTAGTTACCTGGGCGGTAGGTAGGGTAGTTACCTGGGCGGTAGGTAGGGTAGTTACCTGGGCGGTAGGTAGGGTAGTTACCTGGGCGGTAGGTAGGGTAGTTACCTGGGCGGTAGGTAGGGTAGTTACCTGGGCGGTAGGTAGGGTAGTTACCTGGGCGGTAGGTAGGGTAGTTACCTGGGCGGTAGGTAGGGTAGTTACCTGGGCGGTAGGTAGGGTAGTTACCTGGGCGGTAGGTAGGGTAGTTACCTGGGCGGTAGGTAGGGTAGTTACCTGGGCGGTAGGTAGGGTAGTTACCTGGGCGGTAGGTAGGGTAGTTACCTGGGCGGTAGGTAGGCTAGTTACCTGGGCGGTAGGTAGGCATGCTCACCTGGGCAGTAGGTAGGCTAGTTCACCTGGGCGGTAGGTAGGGTAGCTCACCTGGGCGGTAGGTAGGGTAGTTACCTGGGCGGTAGGTAGGCTAGTTCACCTGGGCAGTAGGTAGGCATGCTCACCTGGGCAATAGGTAGGGTAGCTCACCTGGGCGGGTAGGCTGCAGCTTGAGCCTGTCCCGCTGGCACGCTGGGTCCATTTTCTGGCGGGATAATTGGATCCTGCGGCCGTGTTCTGCACACTCCCCAGGCCACTTTGCTCGGGTCTTGATGTTTTCCTCCACGGACTTGGCTCTCTTTTGTTATAATTCTGATTTTACTCTTTCCCTTTGAGGAAGAGTAGATAAGTGGCCTGAGGCTTCGCTCCTTAGCGGGCACTTTCTTGGCCAGCGACCTGGGGCGCAGCATTGCTGAGGGTGAAGACCACACAGGGCGCTGGATCTGGGTCCCGCTCTAAGCGGGTGTTTACTGGCTGGGTGCCCGGTGGCTCCCTTCAGCCGCTGAGCCTGTCTGCTCATTGGTCAGGTGGGAGAACCACAGCGCTCTTCTCCGGCGGAGCTGACGAGCTCAGATGGGGTAACTTTAAAAAATACTTGCCACGACAGCACCCGTCAGAGGCAGGCCGGTGGTGGTCGTAAATGTGCATGGACACAGACCCCCTGCTGCTGCTGAGCGGCAGGGACCTTCAGCCGGTCGCCGGTCCCTCTGACACCTGCTGTCAAACAGGAACCCCGTACCGCAGGTTGTTGGTGTGGTTATGGGAGGTAACCAAGTTTCTTGCCTCTCGCAACTTCCGACTTTTTTCTCCCGTCTGTGTGACCATAGGTGACGGCGGCAATGACGTCAGTATGATTCAGGAGTCTGACTGCGGCGTGGGCGTCGAGGGGAAGGTGAGCGGGTGCCGGGTGCCGGGTGGCAGTGCCGGGTGGCATGTCGTTGGCTGGAGCGGCTCTGTCCACGAGCTGGAGTTCTCTCTCCTCCGAGGCACAGGGTCAGTGCTTCTGGGAATCACACATTAGGAATGTGCTGTAAGGAACCCTGCATCCTGAGGACCTCGCCTTCCCCCCTGGGGTCAGAATTCAGATCACTGCATCCTGCAGACAAATGCTGATTTTTTGATGTGAAAACCTAAGTTTAAAAAAAAAAGGTTTTTGCCATCATCTTAGGGTCCGCTGGATGTGCTTCCGACTTTTCCTTGGGGTGGGTGTCAGTTGGAGCCCGAGTTGTCACACTGTGTGCGGAATGTGGGAGAACGGGGCGTGGCGGGCGCGTTGCTAAAAAGCCTGGGGCCTGCAGTTCTTTCGAGTGTTTGTTACGACAGTTTTCCATCTCTTTCCTTGTCAGCTGTGCGCTGCCTCCCATAGTTTGCTCTGCCCCCTCTAATTTGTGCCACTCAGTGACTCTCCGCAAGAATAGTGGCCACCAGCTGTCAGAACCAGGTGCAAAATACGAGTGCAGAGGCCCTGGGTGAGGGCCGGGGGCTCCCCTTACATTTTGGTCCGTATCCTCATGAATTTGGCTCATCCTTCATTTCCTTTTTCACCCTTTCTGGTTAAGTGATCCTTGAATGAAATGTGACGTCTGAACTCTGTATGGACTCCTTTGTTGCAGGTTTTAGGAAGACACTTGAGTTTAATAGATAGAATTCTTTACAGGTGTCTATGTGGAGCCAAAACATTTCCCCTTAAAATTATACTCTGATACCTTTGTTTTTGGAGAATGAAAGGAAGAAATGGTCACTGTAAAAAGTTAGAACAACTTAGAAATGGATGAAGTGTCTTTTAGATAGCCTCATCTAAGTGGTAACATTGTTTATTATTCAGAACTTTTGTCTATGTGTATATTGCTGGTTATGAATATGTATGTATGTATGTATATATTGTATACACATACGTATGTTCATGCATACACATATCTTACACATGTATGTATATTATTTTCAGGTATAGTTTTAAATTAGAAACATTGTGCATTTAAAAAAAATACATATTTTTATTGATTCAGAGAGGAAGGGAGAGGGAGAGAGATATATATAGAAACATCAGTGAAGGGAGAGATTCATTGGTCGGCTGTCCCCTGCATGCCCCACACTGGGGATCAAGGCTGCAACCTGGGCATGTGCCCTGACCAGGAATCGAACCGTGACCTCCTGGCTCATAGGTCGATGCTCAACCACTGAGCCACGCTTGGCTGAGCAACATTATGCATTTTTAATGCAACTTGATGACATCTGTTATATCTTGGATTTGTTTCTACATCAGAACATGTAGATCCATCCATTTTTTTTTTACCTTCCCTCAAACGTTTTATTTTGAAAATGTCACTCCTTCAGAAAAGTTGAAATAGAGCAGTGAGCACCCATCTATTGTTCACTTCAGTTGACCAGTTGTTAACATTTGCCTCATTCTCTATCTCCTCCCCCAGCCCCCAAATCAGTGGAAAGTCAGTTGCAGATATAATCTGTTACCCCTAACTACTTTAGCATGGACCTCTTAAGAAAAAGAACATTCTGTTACGTACTCAAAATAACATTACAGTGGGGCCTTGACTTACGAGTTTAATTCGTTCCGAGACCGAGCTCATTAAGGAGCTCGGTAAGGAGCTCATTAACTCAAATTACTCTATCAACTCAATGGAAAAAATCGGCCGAGAGACAGCTGGTATCTCAAAAAAGTTGTTAGTCGGGACACTCGTAAGTCAAGGCCCCACTGTATATGCCCCCCCCCAAATGCCACGTTGAGATAACATTATATAATTTTCATAGTTCCTTCCCCCCATCCTCAAAATGTTTAATAAAAGTATCTCCAGGAACCAACGAAGGGACAGTTGTGGAGTCTCCCCGATACCTGTGGGTGAGGTTGATTTGATTCACATTCTGTGTTTTTGGTGTGAGTAGCACCTAAAGGGAATTTGCATCTCCTGTTGCATCCAATCAGTTTGTCCCACAAGTGGCATCCATCATGGACCTTTTAAAATGATAAAATTCCACAAATGGTTGTCCCACAAATGGCATCCGTCATGGACCTTTTAAAATGATAAAATTCCACAAATGGTTGCACTGTAACCATATTTCCACTTCTATAAATGTGCAAAGCTGCTGTGTATGTTCAGGAATGTTCCATTTAATATTGTTAGTAGCATCTGATTCCTTCCCCCCTCCCCATTTTTAACTCTTAAGGGAACCGAGCGTTATAAAATGCCTGTCTTTGAGCGATTCTTTGCTTCTGATGCACATTACGGCGTGGGCCTTACCCCCAAGGCTTAATGCTACATCCATTTGACCTCCAAATTATAACTATCTGTGATTTGGAATGTTTTTTGTTTAAATAAATTCCTCTTTTTAAATCGAATTTAGACTTGGACCACCAACTGTGTATAGCTTGAAACCAAAGAATCTCTTTATTGAAGTTCTTGGAAGATCTCCTTACAGTGTCTTGCTTTTTCAATTAAAACAAATGTGTTCGCTTTGACCTCTTGTGCATCTGACGGTGCCCAATTTCATCGGGTTTCAGGAAGGAAAACAGGCCTCGCTGGCGGCAGACTTCTCCATCACTCAGTTCAAGCACCTCGGCCGCTTGCTCATGGTGCACGGCCGGAACAGCTACAAGCGCTCGGCCGCCCTCAGCCAGTTCGTGATCCACAGGAGCCTGTGCATCAGCACCATGCAGGTGGGTGGCAGCCGCACCTCCGCGCAGGCGCGCGTGGCTGTCCTGGAGAGAGCAGGGAACCAGGCTGTGTCTTGGAGCTGGTACCCCCTCCATGCTCGTGGCAGCTGATAGACCTCGGATTGCCCGGATCCTTCCTGTTAGGTGTGAAGGCCATTCTTGGGGTGTCGTATAGACCGGAGTTGTTATAACTGGTTTGCCGGAAGGAAAAATGCCGAGTTCAACGCTAAGTGGGTACTGAGTTTTCCACATGCAGAAGTAAGGGCCAGTCGAGAATAACTTGCTGTTCTGGAGCGCTGCCTATACACTGGGCATCGGGCTAAGTGTTCACAGTGCAGTGTCTCACTCAATCCTCACAGTAGTGCCCATTTCACAGATGGGGAGTCAGAGGCTGTGGGGGGGGGGGGGGGGGTACCTATACACTGGGCATCGGGCTAAGTGTTCACAATGCAGTGTCTCACTCAATCCTCACAGTAGCGCCCATTTCACAGATGGGGAGTCTGAGGCTGGTGGGGGGGAGGGAACAGAGTTTGTGTAGTGTCCCTCAGGGTTAGTGTGCTCAGACAGGGGACTCCAAGCCTGCGCTCTTAATCAAGGTCTCCTCCTCGGTGCCCTCCATACATCAGGGCTATAGCAGTTAACTGTGTACTAGGGAGAAGGCCAAAGGGGAGGAAAGAAAACATTTGGGTGTTGAAAAACTGTCTACTGATTTTCCTCCGTGGGCATTTAGGTGAGCCTCGGTGCCCTCCATACGTAAGGGCTATAGCAGTTAACTGTGTACTAGGGAGAAAACCAAAGGGGAGGAAAGAAAACATTTTGGGTGTTGAAGAACTGTCTACTGATTTTCCTCCGTGGGCATTTAGGTGAAAATACTCCCAGTTAAGTGGGGAGAACATGGGGATGGTATATCTCAGAACCCATGGTTTTTTTTCTGACCAAATCACTAAGTATAGCAGGTCCTCAAATAATGTCGATTTGTTTAAGATAATCTCATTATAACATTGGTGACATGTTCTTTTAAAAATCAATTAGCCTATGGTAAACATCGTGTTGCTTAAAGTCACAGAACCTATCCACAGTGTTAAGTGAGGACTTACTCTACTTATGATACCTTGAGCAAGTCACTTCACCACTCTGGGCCTCAGTCTTTCCACCTGGAAAATGGGGACGATGAGATCTGCCTTGTCTCTCAGACAGGGCTCCTTTGAAAAGTAGAGCATTTTATAAGGGACCAAGTGCTAAAGGCATCCTTACTATTATTAATAAAACAAAAGAGGATAATGTGTAAAATAAGAGGACATTTACATTTGTAGGAAAGGTGATTAATCATACATGAAAGGCACAAGGCGTCCTGCCTTTCCGAGCGAGTCGGGTGGTGCTGCTCTGTGTTGATGAGAATTCGCCCGTCACCGGCCTCCTCCGTGCATGCCTTTCGGGGTGAATGTATGTTTTTAATATCTATGCCCTTATGAGTGTAGGAGCCTTAAAGTGATTTTCATCAACATGCTCTAAACCCAAACAGCTGGTACGGTTCATCAGACCACATCTGTACTTTTAACTTATGTTCGCTCCTCAATTGAGCTGGATAGGACGGTGGTTTTAATCACCGGGAGATCAGTCAGCCCGTCCCCGGGCAGGCACACAAAAGCGGGCCTGGGTGAGCTCACTTCTGTAAGGCTCGCGTGCTACCATGAACATTGCTTCAGAAAACATGGTCGCTGGGACTCGTCCTCTGTGCTAGGAGAGTGCCCTTGAACCTGTCCACCGTGCTGAAAGTGGGCCAGCCCGTGTTAGAACCGGACCTGGACGTGGGTCTCTGATAGATAGAGGCGTAGCGTTTTGTGTCCCCCCTCTGCGCTCCCCCCCCCAAGTGCTCTTTTCAAGATGAGGTCTTTGTGGTCAGCTCGGGGCTTTTGGAGAAGGAGGCTCCCCATGGTGATCTGCAAAACGAAAAACCAGATTTTTGACATTTTTACAACCACAGCCCAGCCCGGGCGAGAAGCTCCTTGAAAAGTGGCTTTCACCTTTCAATTCTGAAATCACGACCAGGGTGGCACCAGGGCTTCCTGCCAGTGACCGTGGCCTTAGGTGACCCCGTGTCCTGAGCTGTGCCAGGTGAACAGGCATGGCAGGGGCTGCGGGGAGGTGTCTCGGGTTAGACCTCTTCCTGGTCACGAGGCTGGCTCAGCCTTTCTCCCGTGTCCGTCCTTGGAAAGCCTTAGGGAGCAGCTGTCCCTGCTTCCTTTGGTTTTATACTCGGGAATGAGCTTCGCGGCCACTTTCCTTCCGTGAGCCTCTAGAAGTCCAGAGAAGGAGGTCACAGCATCAGGCCTGCTTTGAGCTCTCTGGTTTATTTCTTCACCGCCCGTAGCTAATAGTTTCCAAACGAGGAAGCAGAAGTTTCGGGAAGGGTTTGTAAATATCTTTATTTCTCTTGTCTAATTGCAATTTGTAAAATTTTCAAAAATATTAAGACCTATAGTATAAGAAGTAAAGCCTCCTCTCCAACCCCACCCTCCAGGGTAATTGGTTGTATCCTCCTGTCAGAGGCTGTGTTTCCATATCAGTTCCCACACATATGCCCACTTGTGACGGTTGCACATCCAGGGGGGCGGTGATGCTGAGCTGTTAGGAGGGAGGGCTCTGAGACAGGTGGGCTAGAGTCCCCAAGTGCCATTTACCTGCCCAGTTTCCCCTCCTGTAATATTCAGGTGACGTTAGGACTCGACCTCATGAGCGGTTCTGGGGAGTCACTGAGCCCATCTACACAGTGTTCCAGCTCATGTTCACAGAGGGGCTGAGAGTGGACTCTGGAGCTAACAAACTCCTTGGGTATGATTCCTGGCTCTGTCACTTGTGAGCTGTGTGATCTCGGGCAAGTCACTTAACCTCTCTGTGCCTTCTCTCATTGGTAATATGGGGATGATGATCTCAGTACCTACTCCATAGGGTTGAGTGAGCATTAAGCGAGCTAATACATTTAAAGCACTTACGACTGTTGGTGTGAAGTAAGTGCTTTGTAAGAGTTGGTGCTGTTTTTATGAACATAAACATCGGGGCTTTGGCGATGGTTTTGCTAACGTCCCCCTTTCTCCTTGCACAGGCTGTCTTCTCCTCTGTGTTTTACTTTGCCTCCGTTCCTCTGTACCAAGGATTCCTCATCATTGGGTAAGGAAATCCAGGCAAGCTATTAATTTTTTATGAAACCACCCTGAAATGCCACAAAAGAAAGAAGGAACATTATATAAAGAAGCATTATACGAAGTCCCCAAGTGGCCAGCCAAGCCAGGTCCAGCAATGCAGGTTAGATGTTTTTTGGGAATTACTGAATTTTTGAACTGCTAAGCCCGTAACCAGGCCGAGGAAGTGGAGTCCGGTCGGCTTGTGTCCGTGGCACTTGGTCGTTTGTACCTGGTGAGGGAAAACCGCCGGCCCCCGAGGGCCCGAGGTTATTGGCTGATTGGCCACCAAAGCAAGAGTGAAGGCTCGCAGACCAGCGATTCCATGGGGTCTTAGGAAAAGAGAAGAGCGGGGTCTGCGCAGCACCCCCCTACGCGGCTGACCCCAGTGGGACGGCCCGCTGTTGGGTGTGCAAGGCGGACCCCTGCTGCCTCTGACCCATTAGACGGGGTGTCACTTAGACATTTGCTGCCACCAGCTCACCCCCACTCCTCACCGGAATTCATGACGTCCCTTTTGACCTTTTCAGAGGGGTGCTCAGCCTTTGACTTACCCGGGTGGGTGGAGTCTAGTTACCATCCGCCCTAGATAGAGGCGCACAGGCGCTCCTGGCTCGGAAGAGGTGCAGGAAGACGCTGGCCCCAGGGGCGGTCTGACAGAGTGGGCCTCCCATCCTCTGTGTTTGGCCCGGTCAGCCTGAGAGTAGGCGCTGGACCTCTAATTGGAAAAATGGACTGTCCTTTGTCAGGGCCTGGAAGAGTAGAGCAAACAGGCCCGAATATAGGGGGGCTTCCGTGTTCCACGTGGTCCTTTCAGGAACTGGTGCCCGATTCTCTCTCGGTTCTCATCTCCTCCTCTCTCCACCCCTCAGCTCCAGCCGCACTGGCTGCCTCGCTGGTCTTCAAACAGAACGGACACATTGCTACCTCAGGGCCTTTGCACTCACTCTGCTGCCTGCCTGGGGTGCTCTTCGCTCCCATATCGGCATGGCTGCCCCCTCACGTCTTGTGGATGTTTACCAACGTGACGTCCCTTGGCGGCCTTCTCAAACTGCACCCCCACCCTGTGCCTTAGTCCCCTTCTCTATTACACTTTCCTCCAACACATGGTGTAGTTTACTGGAGTGTTTATTGACTCACGTTTTGTCTGTTTTTCATCTTGAATCTCCAGTGCTTCGTTAGAACTGGCCCTGGCACATGGGAGGCCCTCCGTACACGGTTGTTGATGGATGAATGGGAACGGGCCAGGCCTTACCGGCAATCTTTCTCTCCTAGGTACTCCACCATCTACACCATGTTCCCTGTGTTTTCTCTGGTCCTGGACAAAGACGTCAAGTCAGAAGTTGCCATGCTGTATCCTGAGCTCTACAAGGATCTCCTCAAGGTTCACCGAGCTCCTTCGCCTTCCCCTTCCTTCCTTCCTTCCTTCCTTCCTTCCTTCCTCCCTTCCTCC